CGGTGGTCTTCGTAGGGGATGGGGCTGCCCGTGGCCTCCGCGACGGCGCGTTCAAGGGTGCGTCGGGTCAGCACCCCGACCATCTGGCGCCGGTAGCCCGCAGAACCCCGCACGTCGTCGATGGGGGTGGCCTCGGCCATCGCCTGATCTGCAGCGGCCTGCAGCAGTTCCGGGTCAAGCTTCTGTCCCCGCAGCGTATCCTCAGCGGCGCGGGCCCGCAAAGGTATCGGCGCGACCGCTCCGAGAGCGATGCGAGCGTCCGTACACTCACCGGAACGAGCCAACGCCAGCGCCGAGGCCACGCCCACGGTGGCGATGTCCATGGCTCCCCGGGGGCTGTGCTTTATGTACAGTGATCCGGTGTTGGCAGACGTCGGGGGCAGGGTGATTTCGGTCAGGATCTCGTCCTGAGCCAATACCGTCCGGCCCGGCCCGGTGAAGAGCTGGTCCAGCGCGACCTGACGATGGCCGTCGGGGCCCGACAAGCGGCACTCGGCACCGTATGCGATCAGGGCTGGCAGGGTGTCGCCCGAGGGTGAGGCATTGCAGATGTTGCCGCCCACCGTGGCAAGGTTACGGACCTGAACGCCCGCGAACGAGGCTGCAGCCGCCGCCAGTGCCGGGTAGTGCTGGCGGATTGCGGGATGCTGCTCCAGCGCCTGAATGGTTGCCAGCGCGCCGAGCCGCAGTCCGCTCCGCCGGCTGTAGGTAACGCGGCTGAGGCCAGGGATATGCTGTATGTTCACGACGTAGTCGGGATGCCAGAACCCGGCGCGCCACCGGACCAGGAAATCGGTGCTGCCCGCCACGATCCTCGCCTGCGGGCCGTGCTGTTGCAGCATTCTGATAGCCTGCCGCAGGGTGCGCGCCTCCAAGTACTCGAAACGCCTCATGTTAACCTCTGAATCCGGGGTTGCCACGAGTGTAGAGAGGGCCAGAGGGCAATGTCAACGCGGGGCGTTCGCGGTGGCCGCGATCCTGCTCTGCAAGCCATCCAGCTTGCAGGCAGCAGCACTGCCCGGTAGACCGCCTGACAGAACAACCATCGCTTCGCAAGTTCATCAAGGAAACCAAGAAAAACCAGAAGGCTGCTGCAGTTGTCGGATTCTAATGGTGCCTGGGAAAGGCTCGGTTGTCAGGGCAATCGCGTCTTATTTGTCAGCACACAAAATTGGTCTGAATGGCGGTGGAGATGGGAGTGGCAGTCCCTCCTTCGGTTCGGTGCGAGGGTAGACGGGCGGGGTTTGGATTCCCGCCTGCGCGGGAATGACGACTTAGTAACTATCTCAAAACCGACCGCAATCCCCCGTCTTTCCCGCGAAAGCGGGAATCCAAACCCCGGTTCCTTGTCTATTACTCAGACGGGCCTCGCCGACTGCCTTTTGAGATAGTCTCTTATCTAGACTTTGTACAAAACGTAGACAAATGATAAGGACAGGGTAAGCTGACCAGACCCCTCTCTCACAAAAGGTCTGGACATGCTCACCCTGCCCGACACGATTCTACCCGTTCTTCGACCCCTTCGCATCACTGTTTCGCGACCCTACTTGGCGGAAAGCTCAGATCCTGCTGGTTGGCGTCATATTGGCCACAGGCCAGCGCACCGTGGCCTCGGCGCTTCGCGTCATGGGACTGAGCAGCGACCGCAACTATGCCCGTTACCACCACGTGCTCAACCGGGCGGTATGGTCTCCCCTTGAGATGTCGCGAATCCTGCTGGAACTGCTGATCCGGCACCTGGACCGGGGTGAGGGTCCCCTGATATTCGGTATCGACGAGACCCTTGAGCGACGCCGGGGACCACAAATCAGTGCCTTGGGCATCTACCGTGATGCGGTTCGCTCCAGCCGCAGCTATGTGGTCAAGGCCAGCGGCCTGCGCTGGGTCTCACTGATGTGGCTGGGCCACATACCTTGGGCTGGAAGGTGCTGGGCTCTGCCCTTCCTTACGGTGCTGGCGCCCTCGGAACGGTATTACCGGCGGCAGGGACGCCCCCACAAAAAGCTCACGGACTGGGCCCGCCAGATGATCCTGCAACTCCGCCGATGGCTGCCCGGCCGGCCATTGGTGCTGGTGGGGGACAGCGGCTACGCTGTCTTGGACCTGCTCCATTTCTGCCAATCCCTCAGGGAACCCGTTACCCTCATCACCAGACTGCGTCTGGACGCCGGACTCTATGCCCCGGCACCACCGCGCCGGCCAGGTCAAAACGGCCGCCCCCGTGTGAAAGGCGCGCGTCTGCCCACGCTGAAAGAACTCCTGAACCAGTCTGCCCTCTCCTGGATCACCGCGCCGGTGGCTTGGTACGGCGGCAGCACCCGCATAGTGGAACTCGCCTCACAGACCGCGGTCTGGTATCACTCGGGCAAGCCCCCGGTGCCCATTCGCTGGGTGCTTGTCCGGGACCCTCAAGGCGAGTTCGACACCCAAGCGCTGTTGTGTACCAACCCGGAGGTGGCCCCGGTGCAGATCCTGGAGTGGTTTGCCTTGCGCTGGCAACTGGAGGTGACCTTCCAGGAGGTGCGGGCTCATCTGGGAGTGGAGACCCAGCGCCAATGGTCCGGCCGGGCCATAGCTCGCACCACGCCGGTCCTGATGGGCCTGTTCTCCTGGATCACCCTGGCGGCCCACTCGCTGCAAAAGCGGGGCCCGATAACCCAACGGAAGGCGGCATGGTATAACAAACCTGCGCCCACCTTCGTCGATGCCATTGCCATGGTGCGCCGCCACCTGTGGATTGCCTCGGAGGGTTTTTCAACGTCGCCGCCACGCACCGACGATGAAAAAGTCCCTGCCGCAATATACGCCCGGCTTCTGGACTCGCTGGCCTACGCTGCTTGAGTGTACAAAGTCCAGCTTGACGACTGGTGGTTATCTCCCCCACTGCCGCCAGGCCGGGCCAATGGTACCGCTCCTTTAACCAAGCCACGTCGCTGCTTATGCTGGCGGTCCTGGTCTCGATGCGCCCGTGCCCCTTGTTGGTCTGGCTTGCCTGCGCCAAATCCGTGGCAGAATCGTCGAGGAACAGGCGCACATCATCGTTCAGGGACTCCTGATTGATCTTGAGAGCCAGCACGTAATCGGCCCCCTGGTCCAGCATCTGCTTGGACAGCCGCCTCTGGCAGTGCATGGCGTCACAGGACAGGCGGAGAGGGCGAGTCGCAGGCAACTGGGCGAGCCGGGTGAACACCCGTAACTGCGCCGGCGCAGTAGGACACCCTCCCCGCCGCACTGGTCGCTCCGGCTTCAAGGCTCACATCTGCAAGTGTGGAGGACACAGGCGTTATCACAATGATCGCGGCGAATGACAGTCAGCCGCTTGCGGAAGGCCGAGGTAGGCGTACGGGTGGCCAACCCCAGCCGGGTGAGAGCTTTCGCCAGGGCATGCGGCTACGAAGCCAAGACCGACCCACGGGATGCTCAGGTATTGTCCCGTTACGGTCAGGTGTTTCCAGAGCCGGACACGCCGGAACTGAGCCGGAACGCGAGGAGTTGCAGGACCTGCTGCGCAGGCGCTGTCAGCTTGTCGAACAGCGAATACAGAAAGTGAATCGGCTGGACAAGGGTGCCTCTGCCGGCGTAGCCGAATCCACCAAGCGCCATATCGCTTGGCTGGAGGCTGAGATTGCTCAGCTGGAAAAGGAGTACCAGGAAGCATTGCAGGGCAGCGCTCGTCTGGCCCATCGGGCGGCGCTGTGCCGGACCGGTCCCCGGCGTGGGGCCGCTCACTGCGGCCACATTGGTTGCCTTTCTGCTCGAACTCGGCCGCTGGGACAGCAAGGCCCTGACCTCCCTGGTGGGACTGGCGCCCCGGTCCCGGGACAGTGGCCGCAAGCGGGGTCAAAGAAGAACCCGCGGCGGAAGGGGCGTAGTCCGCAAGCCTGTCCTCTGCGCCTGCTCAGTGATCCAGGTGGAGGGTGAGTTGCGCCTTTCTATCAGAACCTGCGCCAGCGCGGGAAACCCGGCAATGTTGCCTTGGTGGCAGTGATGCGCAAGCTGCTGTTGCAGCTGAACGCTTTGGCCCGCCGGGGAACGCCATGGGTGCCGTTGCCAGGATAGAGGAATTTTGTTGGCAGCTCGCCAAAAGCTTGACCTTCAACCACGGATACTGTGCGGGCTCTGTTCAGAAAAAGGGGCGGCGACCCAAGCTTGACAACGGTCTTCCATGACCCAGGGCGGGTCGGTCTGCCGCACCCCGCACACCTTTGAGAGAGAAAATTATCACCGCTAAGCCAAGATACAAGGGCGTTCGCAAAACGTACCACTGCGGCGGGAGTCTCCAATGACCGACACAGGGTGTATCCTCTACGATTGCCCTGAACCCTGCGGCTGTTACGCCGAGGGCTACGCTGCCGGCAATGACAAGGCGTACTTCGAGGTACTGGCAAGCCTGGACGGCCCGCCCCACGCCGGGGAGTGCACCTGCCAGCCCTGCCTGGTCAAACGAGCCTGCCTGCAGAAGGTGCTGACACTGATGGCCAAGACGTCGCCCGGGATCTTCGAACTGGTGGAAGTCTGGTCTCTAGAGGATCATGATGACCGAAGCTGAAGTTGAGACCGGTCCCTGGGAAACTCCGGCGCTCCCTCTGACGCTTCCAGAGGGAACGCCCACCTCACCGGCCGGCCAACACCCGGCGGGCCTATATGGCACGAATGAATGAGCCCGGGTGCCGTGCGCCACCGTTCCCTCACTCAGGCTTACGCGCACCGACATTCCGTGGGAGTCAACCGCCAGGTGCAGTTTGCTGTTCAGCCCCTTTTGTACGTCCTATGGCTTGATTCCCTCCCCGGGCTCCCGATATGTGGGGATGGACCTTCAGTCGCTGAACTCGGATGCGCCATAGAAAGGCAGGCCCCGGATATGCGTGGATGATCCAGCCCGAAAGATGGATCCAGAGTCAAGATCACCAAAGACCCCGGGTAATGGGGATGAACCCCTGGACATCACATTGTCAAGAAAGACGGCTTCGCAGGCCCCGAGCGCGCGGGGACGATCCAATTCAATCCTGATCTCCATTCTCCTCACAGTTACGGCCCCGAACACTCCGATTCCGGGTTTTAAGAATCGCCCCGATTATGCCGGGATGACCGTTCACAAAATCGCAGCCGCTGACGGCCTTACCACCTTCCAGTTGGACCAGGTCCAAAGATAGGGTGCCCCGGCCGGTCTCCACCTTCAGACCTCCCAAGGGGCCCTGCATCACCACCCGGCCGACAACACCGGGTGAATCGGGGGCGTCCTGAGCTTGGGAAACCGAGAGGAGTTTCAGCCTCCTCCCATTCCATTGGGTATGACTGCCCGGCCGCGGGTAAAACGCCCGGCACCTGCGGGCGATGGTTTCGGCAGGTACCGACCAATCAATGCCATGACTCCTTTTGAACTTGCGGGAGACAGTTGCCAGTGCCTCGTCCTGAGGTGTGACACTCAAGCGGCCACAGACCCAGGGACCCAGGCTATCCAGCAGCAGTCCCCCGCCCATCTCAAAGAGCGTGTCCTCCAGTTCCCCTGATGTCTCACCTCCGCTGAGGGACATTCCGGCACTGGCAATGACCGGGCCAGTGTCCATGCCCTCATCCATAAGCATGAGGGAAACGCCCGTGACCGCGTCACCCTCAAGGATAGCGGCGATTACCGGCGAAGGACCGCGGTGCCGCGGCAGCAGCGAGGGGTGCAAATTCAGGCAACCGTGAGGAGGCAGTTCCAAGACCGTCTTGGGTAAGAACTTACCGTAGGCCGCGACCACAATCACGTCCGGGGCAAGCCTCGCAAGCTCTGCCAGAATGGACTCCCCATCCAGGTTCGGAGGCTGCAGCACGGGAATCTCGCTCGCCTCAGCCGCCAGCTTCACCAGTAAAGGTTTCGGGTCCGAACCACGCCCCTTGGGCTTGTCGGGCGGGGTCACGGTCGCCACCACCTGCACGCCGGGCATTGCGTGCAGTCGCCGCAGCGCCGGCACCACCGACGGGCGACTCCCCATGAAAACAACACGGAGCAAATCAGATAGACCTCAGAGAAATCATGAAGCAGGCTAACAAATTGGAGGAGGAGACAAAGGCAGTGAAGATAAGGCCATGATGCGTCATTATAGCCCGGCCTTTTTTTAGCGACCACACAGACCTCGTGTTTACGGGGATGATCCAGTCCGGAAGGTAGATTCAGATGGGTAACCTCGCCAACTTAACCTGGCTGGAGCTCGGCAATAACCACCGTAGCGGGTGCGTGCCTAAGAGGTTTGCACGCCGTAACTGGATCGACTTTAATGTGGGTCTTCTCCCGTTCTCCCCGTGAGACGCAGGCTCTCCCGGCCTATCGCCGAAATAAATACCCAGCGGAGCTGGTACAGGAGGCGAGGCCCGTGTCCTCCAAGCACTCCGCAGCTTTCCGTCTGCGGCCGGGCTATGCCGGCTCTAGCAACAGGGCTGCGACCACCGGTCCTACCCCATGATCGCCGAGTCCGGGATGTCAGCCCCGGCAACCCACCCGGTCAAGGTGGCTGGAAACAGCCCTGTTTACAGCCATGGCTGTAAATCCCCCACTCCCCGTAGCTGAAGGGGTGGCTGGAAAACCCAGTTGCAAACCTCTGGCAGAAAGCCATACTTCAGGTATTCCAGCCAGGGGTGTGGGAGGATGACGCTGTACGGCTATGCCAGGGTCTCGGTCAGAGAGCCCGGAGGACAAGAATCTGGACCTGCAGGTGGAGCGGCTGGTCCGCGCCGGCTGCGCCATGGGCAATATTCGAGCCGAGGAGGCCAGCGGGGCCAAGAACGACCGCGGCGGCCTCCTGGAACTGCTGGACCTGGTGGTCGAGGGGGACACCCTGGTGGTCACCCACATCGACCGGCTCTCCAGGGGGCTGACCTACGGGCTGCAGGTGATCGAGGGCCTGCACCAGGCGGGAGTGGAGTTCCGGTCCCTGGCGGAAGACTTCGACACGGCCACGCCACCGGCAAGCTCCAGCTCTCGATGGTGCTCGCCTTCAGCGAGTGGTGGCGGAACTCGATCAGGGAGCGCTCGGTCGCGGGCCAGGCGAAGGCGCGGGCCGAGGGGCGTTTCCCTGGCCGACGGCCCGAGCCTGACCGAGCAGCAACGGGAGTACATCCGGGTGGAGCGGTCGAAGGGAGTGAGCCAGCGGGAACTGGCCAAGCTCCTGGAGGTCAGCCGCTGGACCATCCAACAGGTGGACGGATAGGGGTGGCTGGAAATTGCAGCCTCGGCACGGAGCATGGCGAGGTGGTCTGATGGTGCCCCAAGAACGGACCGTCTCGTCGTAACATGCGCCGTCCCTCTGCGGCACGGACCTCACCGAGGCCAGCCTAGGATTGAGCCAGCAGCCCGATACCAAGATTGCGGTGATGTCCGGACACCGCGGCAGATTCGCCAAGGATATGGCTCGCGCTCTCCCTGGAAAACACCAGGAAGAGACACCGGGTTGTTGCCGACTACCCCCGGGGCGCCATTTTGCTTATGCTTTCCACAAGAAGATATTCTTCCAATTTCTCGCTAACACTTCTCATTGAGGCGACGGGCCGACAATAGTAGTTGACGACAAACAAATGACTACAGAGCAAGAAATATGACCAATAACATGGGGACTCCGGCGCATCCTGAAGGTGTACCGCACTTCAGTGTAAAGGCGCCCTAATAGCCCACAAACTGGCCGTGGCTTTGCGGCCCAAAGCGCCACGCGAGTACGCCACACTGTTGCCGTCTGAATTCAGAGACGTTTCCCTCGATGACTCGATGCCTGCTGACCTGAAACAGGCTTTCGAGAAAGTTATGGAACGCCTGGACTCCAGACCGCCCTATTCTTTTGTGATATTCAACGAACCTCCGCATGACGACTGCGACGGTGGGGTGATGGTCGTGGACATACTGCAAGGCTGCCAGGGTGGGCATGTGAACCAAGAGAAGCCCTTTGCGGGATAC